AATATCACATGCCTTTCTTTAAGAAGAAAAAGCAGTTTACAAAAACAAAGTGAGGAAAACGGACTGAGTTTACTTGAAGCGAAGACATTTTTTTACAGAACACAAACACCAATTGGCGATAAATAGTCACTTTTATTAATTAACGCTAATATATTTAGGATGCACTTGTAAAATAATATGTTGTTGTGCTTTAAATAGTCCAGTTCACGAGCAACGCAATATTGGAACTTCTTGACAACGGCATTGGCTTGCCTGTGGAGACGGTCGAGCGCGGGGGCGAGCTGAACTTTGTACCGCAGCGGTCGGATGCACCCGAGAAGTTCAACAGCGTGGTAAGTCGAGACGAACAGAACGAAAACTGGAGCCAAAGCGAGAACCTGAGACGGTGGCCCTTCTGTTTGAACGAGTGTGTGCAGTTAAAAATAAGTGTTCGGTTTTGTTCAAGACTGATCGATATCTCTGATGCCAAGAAGCAAGGATTCCCACATGTACAGAAGACAGCGAAAGCAGTCAACAAAAATGTCTCTGTAGACTTTTAGTTTCTCCACTTTGTCGCACCGAGCTTAATGCAAAGATTGTACAGGTATATGACCCCGGTCTGGCTACGTGAAGAGCTCGTTCCGTTTTCTCCGCCCTTTGTGCCCTGGCTTTAAACATCGGATAATGGAACATCCGCTGCACCGCTAGATATCAGACTAAGGAATGTCAATTGCCATCATTAAAAATTAATAAAATACAATGTAGCCAAGCACGAGTATTCTCAATCAATGAATTTAACCGCTGCATTTGAACACACAAATAAGTAGCATAGTCTTTGCAGCGAAGCCGACCTGCGGAAACTGCGTTTGGCCGTTCAGAGAACGTGGCAGCGATTTCGATCACTTCTTGAGAAGATACAACAAGAAAAGGGGGAAATCGCTTCAAGCCAATTGAAAGTTCATATGATCGACAGCAATAATAAAAAAAATTGAACGAAATAATAAATGGCCTTTTTGGATAAAGTGGGTTGAAAATATCAATTAATTTCATTTTCGACGATATTTCAAATTTTATATAAAACATTCAGTGAAAATAAAATAAACTAAACTTTTGCCCGTCAATATTTTATGTATAGGGCTACACCCTCATAGTATTTGGTAAGCGACAAATATAATAACTCATGAGTTACAAGGCTCTGAAGTTGCCACCGCATTGTCACGTGGGAGCGATTTCGATCACTTCTAGAGAAGATACAACAAAAAAAGGGGGAAATCGCATCAAGCCAATTCAAAGTTTATATGATAGGCAGCAATAATAAAAAAATTGAACGAAGTAAAAAATGGCCTTTTTTTGATAAAGTGAGTTCAAATTATCGGTTAATTTCATTTTCGACGATATTTCAAATTTTATATAAAAGCTTCAGTGAAAATAAAATGAACAAAACTTATGCCCGTCGGTAGCCCATGTATAGGGCTACACCCGCATAGTATTTAATAAGTGCCAAATATAGTAACTCATGAGTTACAAGGCTCTGAAAATGTCACCGGATTGTCAAAGAGACGATGTTCTGCATTTTTTACCTGAATAAACAAAACTACAAAACCATTTTCCTTTGAACTAAAAAATATTACAAATAACATACAAGAGCACAAAAAATTACTGTGAGTTTTGTATGCTTCCCGTATTCATACCAGCATACAGAACTGGGTAGAAAAATCACAGAGTAAAAAACAGATTTTCACCCTGCTCCACTAAATAATTTTTTGTGAAGCGAAATATCTTTTTAAAAAATTTTGGAAAGCGGTTTTGTTCTTTCCAGAATTGGGGCAATTACATGTATATATTTTTTTTAAAAATCGAAAGACCCACCCCGACAAGCGTATTCGATTTCAAATGAAACCACCCTGCTATAAGTGTGCCACTTAACATCACTGTTGCCAATTGGTGCATTTTTAATTAACGAGTTACTATTTTATTAATATTTTAATATTATTTACTAATACTGTTCACCCGGAATCGGGTTCTTACAGGAGAAATAGTTACAAAAACATACAAAACACCGATATGACGAAATGCACGCTTTTCAGTCAGACGCGTAAAAATGATCAAAGCCAGTTACAGTGCAGCAGTAATATGCAGAGTAAAAAAGCAGCAAGATCGATTGTTTAGAAAACATGAGCATAGAGTAAATTTTCGAAATTCTAGACTTTTATAGAGGCCCCTGTACAATACATCAAATCATGTACGAAAATATTATAACGGATAAGGCAATTCAGCACCAACTCAACGCTATGGTCTAAGTAACAGTTCGGCGTACAATTATGTTAAGGCTCGGTCGACAAGGTGAGCAGATTGTTCATAAAACTATCAACGCTGTCACATTCAACTACGCTCTGTGGAAGATTATTCCAATCTATAGGATTGTTCTGGGGAAAAAGGAGTACTGGAAAGTGTCATTTTTCGCCATTTCCACCATAACTTCCGTGGTGTGGCCTTTTCTGAGTGTTCTAGATTGGCGGGGTTGTAAGAACCTGAAAGTGTTAATATTGAACAAATTATTTTCAACATAAATAGAAATTTTAACCTTGCAGTTTTCCACCGACTAGGAAGAAGTGGCAGATCGAGATCTTTCAGCATGCCTTTAATTGTGTCAGTTTTCTTATATTTAGTTAAAATGAACCTCGCTTCTATATCTGAACTTTTCCTAGATTGTTAATTTGGTATTGTCTAAAGGGGTCCCATACAATTGAGGCAAAATCTAATGTCGGTCTTACTAAAGTTTTATATGCAAGTGGTTTCGTTGTGACGGACGCAAATTTAAAATTACGTTTTAAAAACCATAGTTTCTTCTTCGGAGTAGAACATAAGTTATCAATATGCTTTCTCCAACTGAGGTCATTAGAAATTGTGACACCCAAGTATTTTATATTCTCAACCTTAGCTAAGCGACGTCCGTCGAATTCGTATACAAATGGTAAGACGTTCTTTTTCCTTGTTATTACGGAAAACACTGTACCAGTGTTCTCCGCAATACTGTACCGCATGATCAATGATTCTTGTATACCACGCCTTCGCTGTACTTCACATACCTGGCCCAATGCGTAGTATACAAGATTCATTTATTGTGTGATAGAATATGCATGGCTAATCGGGTCGTTATATAAATGATAGGTTCAGAGAACTTGCACTGTCAGTAAGATCGTCACCCTCACGAAATCTAGATGTGCACTATAACAGATGCGGGTGTGTCCCGAAGTTTGACAACACCATTATCTTAGCCCGAAACCAAAACAAAATGGCAAGGAAGATATCCGAAGCGTTCTCCATACCGGAGTGCGTACAAGACACATGAGTCAGCGCTCCGTCAATAGCACTGTTTTGCTCGGAAGTGGCGTTTTTAACATCTTTCGTGAAGTAGAAAGCAGATATATAAGCATTGATTTGATAATGTCCCGTTTCTGTAATCACGCGTCTTGATTTAAGGTGTATATATGTACAGTGCGCCCAAAGTTAGCGCAGCCACGAGATGGTCCGGTTGCTTCACTTTTTGAGCTAGTCCTAAACCTAGCGGTCGAACTAGTTGGTGAAAATTTGCGTCCCCGATGAAAACTCAACCAGAAAAAGGTATTCCAGCAGCGACCAATTTATCTTTGGGTAGCATGCAATATATCAATATTTTCGAAACCGAGTGGCGGCGTTAAGTTTGAGGGGCACAGTATGGTTCTTCCCTCCAGTAAACTTCAGATGCAAGTAGCGTTCTGTGTTGTTCGTCTCTTTCACTTGCCCGTTGTTTTTTTAGCGCTTTTATCTTCGGAACTATGAAGCACCGACTAGCCCAAGTGCATACCCTACTATATGTTCTTTTCCGCAGCAAAGTTTTTCCGATTAGAGTCAAACTTATGTTGTGTGCATTTCAAATTATTAAATAAACAATAAAATTTACTCTTAAATCACTCTAAAAGTTCATTTGTTGTCGAAGTTTGCATCTGCGGCATTTCGCTGCCAAATATTGCTAAAACTAACGGAACGCAATAGAAACATTCGTTAGTTTCTGGGAGTAACGGTGACGGTATTTTGTTACCTTTGCAGTACGGTAAGTAATCTCAATAAGTAACTCGTTGATATTTGACTAAGCAACGAGCAACGCTATTTTGTTACTTATTTGCAGCAACGTGCACTACACACACAGAAGCTACAATAATGTGGGCTCTTCCGGAATGTACAAGCGAACTATCGAGAACGATCGAGACACTCATTGATCTACCTCTTGCATATCAAGCAACCGGGTCCCGATTTCCATGACTAAGCTATAAACAAAATAAGAATCTAAGCTCCCTCAAGAACATTCACAACTGACTTAAGGTTCTGCTTGCGTTTAACTTCTATCTTAAACACGATTGCTAAGGTTTTCTGATGTCTCAGAATGCATGGTTCATGAATAAAAAACGTTTTTCTGACTGCCGTTTACAGTATTAGCGCCGAGATATTTCAGTCTCGCCCTCTAATGGTTTCCATCCGTGACGTCACGACTGGGATTTGCCTCACCGTGACGTCCACCAGTTGTTACCCAGGCTACTTACCACCAGCTGCGACGACGAGTGCGATGGTGTGTTTAAACAGCGGAATGAAAGCTAGGAATCATCGCAACCGGAACTAACACTGTGAAAGTTTACAATCTGACAATGCTTATATGCCCATGGTCTGCCCAATAGTGGAAAGCTGACCGCAGCGATGCTTTTGGTCGCGCACATCGCTAATACGATCAAACAAGATGCTCCTTTTCGGGAGAACGACAACAAAGTTTTGACCATTTCTCGAACAAATTTTTGAAAGGTAAAATCTAGATTGTCGGCAAAACAAAATACTATTGTAACCACTATTCACTATCAAACAACATTTAATAACCTTTTTTTTAGTTTTTAGCATGTACGTTCCTTCAAAGTAGAGTTAGTGTCAGATCCTTTACCGGTCGCATCTTGACAGCACTCGCATTCACTACCTCACTCATCAAAAAATTACAGCTGCTGGTGAAAGCTTTGATTGGTGGCTACGGAGCCACAGGCAGCCAGATCGACGAAAAGGGAGAGGAACGGGTCTGGTGGACGAACTTCACCTGGGAGAAGTACAGCGCGAGAATGGACTGCCTGCGAAAGTCGCTCCGCTGGGTAAGATTTGTATGTATCTTGGATTGTGATCGACCTCTAAATTTTTTGTCCAAGCCTTCTTTTACTTAAAAGAACAACAGCCACTATGTAAGCTACCTTTTATTTGTTTATTTCAAAATACTGCCAGTCCCAATAGAGCCTTTAGCAGGAAATGACGCGAAATACAAGAAAATTGAATGCTTCATAATTGGCACTTCAAAGTCAAAACATACACATAAATGCTATTAAACAGTGCCTAGAAAAAAAAAACTTTCATCCATAAAAAACAAACAAAAAAACGCAGCAGGCCAACCCTGGTTATACAATAAAAAAAAAGGTAATCTTACATCACTCATGATTCATCCCTTTGTGACTAAGTAACTAGATGTGCTAGGAATTGTGGTGCTGCTAGTGATAAAATGATCTAGTTCTGTTTTCTGTTTTTTTTTAATTTAATGTTTTGTTTTTCCTGAATCATTTCACGGTTGCTCCACGGATTATGCTTTTTCGTTGACTTTTGTCTTGTGGCGGTATATTCAGCACTACAATACTGCACAATTTTCTGTGGTTATCCCACGGGTTATCGGCACTGATCTTATCACTCAAGACATAATCATTAAAGGACCAGAAAGTACATGAAATCTAGGTTATTATACTTGCATCTTCAGCATTGTTAAACGGCGTTCCCACACTTGGCTTGCATCCAAGGAGGACCGAGAGAGACAAGACCGGTTATTCAGCCTCTTGGGACGCCCTCGCAAGAGCCTTAAAAGCCGGTCTTCTATCTTACGGTCATACTCGGTTGCAAGTGTGTGAACGGCGCTTTAAAGTTCAGTAGAGTAGATTTTAACAAAAGATGGCGGAGTTTCTCATGAAAAGGGACAGGGATGGAACAAACAGTCATTTTATGATCGGATATGCCATCAAGAACATCAACTTTGACATTACTCTCCGGAAGATGGGCACCAAATCAATAATGTTGATTATCGAATCATGAATCCGTGTCGCAAGGGGAAGAATATGGGCAAGTTTTAAAATAAATACAATGTCAAAAGGTATCTGTGAGGATACTCAGTAACATTGTAAGGTGATCCAATTGATATCCGCCAGATTAAAATCAGCCATCATAGCAAGCCTCCGATCTTTCAGATGATTTTGGATCGAATATTGCAAGGCTAGCAGGTTATCTATGTCATTGTTATGTTTCCTAATACCTATACACGGCACCAACGAATATTGCATGACTCTCAAAATTTATCTTGCAAAATATTGCTTCTACATCAGGCACGTCCGACAAACGCGTGAACGGAATTCTTTTTTTTATTATTATAATAGCGACAGTACCACCACGAGTCTTTCAATCTTTTCGTATAACGTAGTTCGCCGGGACCCTTTCATGATCTAAAACAAAGTGTGTAAGCCAATATTTTGTGACGGTGACGTTGTCAGGCCCGTGATCAAGGAGTACACTTTCGAACGCTTCCGATTTATTCAATAAGCCTCTCGCGTTCAAAAGGACAAGTGGTAAAATTGTGAATGGGGAAGTGTCGCTACTCTTCAGAATAACGACAGTCCAGCCATCTTGTAGCTTAGAATCATTGTTGCCAGTTACCTTAAGTTTTGTGTGAAATCGCAGGTAGCTTTTTCCTATCCTCCGGATATGTTAGAACAGTTCACGACAGGGCAAAACGATATCACCTTAACTTCTTATACCGAAGTGTCTAAAGCTGAGGAAGTCTTATTTTTTTAATACTGATGATCGACAGTTGCGTCTCCTCTGCTCTAACCACCAAGATGGTAGCGCCCACTAGCAGATCAGGGAAAGGAGTGCCGACACTTTAAGCGTTGCCCACTAAGTGGCTCTAGTTAAAACTGCGGTGCCTGGAGTGCTTCTCGACTATTGTGTTTACCAGTGGCCTCTAAAACGGCTTTTCGGTTTCCGCCTGATGATGCCATAAATGTGTCATGTAGCGTGCCTATACTATTTCGTAGAGTTTCTGACTGCTCGATATGCGTCACGCGATATATGCGCCGCATTTGCAATACGAGCAGCGTATAGGTGGCAATGGCGTGCCCGAAAGCGTGGGTATGTAATAAGTGTTTGCAGTTTAAACGATGGATGCGTTTCCCTCACGAGTGATATGGACGTGATTCCTTCCACGAGTGGTATGAATGTGGTTCTTTCCCCGAGAGATAGGAATGACAGTATTCAATGACGTCGACGTACTCTGACAGGCAGAGTACAGAAAAGGGGTGGAACAAATGACAGGAAGATTCATTGGTATATCCTTAGTAATGCGTTCGCACGACCCTTGGTAAACGGCACAATCCGCTCCTTTTGGGAAACGCTAACTCTGACAAAATAAAAATCCTAAAAAGGCAGCAAAAAATAGAGGGAGCAAAAAAACCGAAACAGAAAAGTGAAGAGATCAGCGTTATCCTTTACCAAATGGGAACGTGTGCAGCGTTTCTCCAGGGCCATGCTAGCGCATTCTCCAAGAATCGACCAATAGATCGTCCTTAATTTTTGTTTTAATTCTCAGTTTTAACATAGTTATATGGACCATTTCAACTGGCCACTAAAAGTACGTAGCAGAATTTAGTTTTTTTTTTTTTTTTTTTTTTTTTTTTTTTTTAAGTCTTCTTTAAAACTTTTATGGTCTATTTTAACGACTGCTGAAAATATTGAATCAAAATCTGACAGCAAAAACAAAATTTAGAAAGATGATTTGCGGAAGCGGTGGCAATATTTATTTGACAATCTATATATATATATATAGAAAGAAAGAGAGAGAGAGAGATAAAGAGAAATGATGACGGCCATTTATGGAGCGTCGCCGTTCGCTGCAAATTCTCCACCCGTTTATGAGCTCATGCCACGTCCTCACTGCCGTCAAATTTCAGAATGTTCTTACTCAGGTCTGGCATTACTTGGAATGTCGCCACGCCTTGGGATTCCACTGCCGCTGATGACGTCGTTGCTGCCGTCAAAATCAGGTGTTCCAATAAGTCCTTGAGCAGACGGCCTTTATCCACAATCACGTTAAGGAGTTCACGCACGGTGACTCCTTTTCCTTGATCGGCGGCTTCGGCTGAGCCGGCCGTCTGTGGAAGCTTATCCTTGTCCATCTTCGACTTAGTCATTCAACTTGAAGCTGGTAGTCCTTTCGGGCAGTCATCGATCCATATCCCACTTCGGAGATGTTATCTTCTTGGTCTTGGTTTATATCGGAAGATTGAAAAGGTCTACCCACTTTGGTAGAAAAGAAGATAGGAGTAACGTTTGATAATAAGTGCGGTTGGGGTAGCCACAGAGGCTGAGGTTCCATTCACGGCTGTCACGCAGGCATTCGAGTTCCACACGTGCGCGTGCACACACAGTGCTCCTGCCGCACGAGGTATCGTCGTTGCCTTTTAAGTGGGGTCGCTTACTTGTGGGAAAGACTATAGCTATACTCCCTCAGGTCGTAAAACTCACTTGAAGATTATTCCACTATAGTTTCTCGGGTTGTGTAACTCACGTGCACTGACCGCAATAGTGTAGCTTTCCCGGCTTTTTAAAAGTAAATTTTAAAGCCCGGAAAAAATAAACCCGGTATACAGGTTGTCTTCTTTTAAGCTTTGCAGGTTTGTTTAGAAAATGCCGTGATAGGTACCCTTATCCGGTTTGTGCAGGTACGTTATACGTCGAGGGGGACAGCCTATATTGGGCTAATCACAACGATGAGTCGTCAAATTAAGTAAACTTTGTTATATCAACTTTTTATTTAGTGGAAATAGACATAGTCGTAGTAACTTTCTGAGCGTGATGAAAAAACACTAAATCAACTCTTTTCATAAGGATATAACAAGGGGGTTGTTTCTTACGGAGTTCCGTAAAAACGGTCCACATAAACGCGTTTTTAGGTTTTGATTTCTATTCGGAGCGCATCTTTGCTCCCGAGGTCCTGCTTCCCAGGGGCTAAGACGCGCAACACGATACCCACTTACAACGATACCACATATAATGATGTACCACTTATAACGATCAATTCATAGGGTTTCTAGACTGGAAATGATCAGTTTCAAGTCCAGATACAACGATAATTGGTAATGACACTTGAAATTTTGGGTTCTTTCATTATCGTCATTAGTGGGTTGCACTGTACACGTGCACCCCACTTCCATCCATCCTGCGAGCGAAGCAAGGGGGTGGCTTCGCGCCACGACCACCAGAAAGAAGGACCTTGGGAGCAAAGATGCGCTTCAATAAGACACCGAAACCTAGAAACGCGTCCAACTGGAGAGTTTTTTTAGAACGACGGAAAATGCTGCCGCTCCCCCATATATTCTGAAAAAAAGTTGATTTAGGGATTTTCGATTATGCATAGCAAGTTTGTTTCGAATGTTTTTTTATTAATTAAAGGTTAATAAATAGGGTTGTGCGAATATTAAAAATTTCGAATAGTAGTTCTGAATAATACACTATTCCATATTCGCTTCGAAAAGAACTGCACCATTCGCGTTTTTCGAAGTGTGAATTATGGCGGGTTAGCCTCGTTGAGTGCGCTTCTTACCAAGCACCGCTGCGCTGAGGAGAAGCAAAACCCGCGGCAGTGAGCTCCGCGGGTGTTGCTTCTCCGCATCACATCGGTGCTCGCTAAGAAGAGCACTTAAGGGGTAACCTGCCGCAATAAACAATATCGTAATTGTGTGCTGAAGAAAAACATATAGACGTTTTACACGCGCAAAAAAATTACAGCCGCCATCGCTGACCTTCTCTTGTCTTACCGAGATGCCGAGAAACTGAAACGCCAGTAAACAATCCTCTACAAAGTCCGATGTTTTAGAAAAGGACATAGTTGAATCTAATATGGCAAAAACCTGGACTGCTATGGTAATGATGACGTGAAATAAACGAAATAAGAGGAAACAAAAACTGAAGGTCAGTTATGGCGGCGTCCATGCACAGCTGCTGCAAAGCGCCTATATTCAAAGCGGGATGGTGCACCCGTGCCGACTGTATTTGAAAATAAATGGAA